CTATAAATTACTTAAATAATTTCTTATGGAATATGAAATTTAATTTCATTCTTAACAGTCTTATTTTAATTTCTTTATAATATATTTTCCATGAAGCATCGTAAACGTAAAGGTGAAAGCTAAGTACAAAAAAATTATAGCGCTGAAAGTTTTCTTAAAAATAGTGAGGTAAATAATTTGTTCATTTAAATGTAAATAATTTCACTTTTCTCCTTCCGTAGAACAAATTATCCTCATGGAATCCGCCAATATGTCATTCATCACCTGTCAAGTGAGGCGAAAGTTTATGACATGCTTTGTTTTATTTTCAAATTACATATTTTTGGTAAAGAAGCTAAATTAAGTTTGGTTCAAAATATTTTAAATAAACATTTTAATTACTGATTTTCTTAAAATAAGTTTTGAAAAAATGATAATTGATATTTAAAAAATATCAAAGTGAGATTTTCATTTTTTTTATGAAATGGAAAAAAATTGTTGCCATCTGTCAAAAAAAAAAAAAGATATTTAACGAAAATTTCGGACGTGCTAGTAACGCTTAAAAATGTAAAAGAAATACCCTTAAAATATTCTCACCTTTCATCTTAATAATAAAATAAAAATTCAGACAATACAGTTTCATGCTAGATGCAATCGTCAGACCGTCAAGGTTTGCCTTTCTATTTATATTTACATACGCTCTATTTCTGATATTGAGCAATTTACCCCATAAATATAGCACAGCTTAAAACTAAATTTCCTTATATATATATAGAAGGTTGGAGAAAAAAAAAATTGGAGAAAATTCTCCTGATATCGCAAGAAAAGCCATATTATTATGCACTCATTACATAATAAAAAAAATTTTGATGAAATAAAAGATTAAAGTAAATAATTTAGAAGGAAGATTTATTTTTAACTAAATCTACGCAGTAAATATTTTCAACATTTTACAAACTCCAATTTTTGAATTTTTATGTGGATAATAATTTTTAAGACAAATTTTGACCCTCTCTTACTATGCAACTAAAATGGATCTGACTTGTTTGTGTTATTTTATTTATAAATCAAATGGTGTACAAAACAGTGTTGTTCTATGAGGACACAAAATATCCAGAATAGAAAATGAAGTTTTAATTAACACTACAATTAATAAGCTATCTACCATTGACAAATACATTGTCTATTTTCTCGGTGCCATTTAATTGTTGTTGCCCGAACCAAATAAAAGTTCATCAGTCAAACGGGTTTGACTTTTTTTTTATTTCCTTAACCATGACTGAAAATTTTTTTTTTTTAATAAATTAGATAGCAGTTTTGGTTTTCAAGAGATCAATGATGTCAGATCCAACACAACTGGGGATACAAAGAAAACTGAAAATATAGGGTAATTAATTTTAATGCTTGACAATAATTTCTAATGTCTGGATTTCGCGAGAAACAAAAGATGTTATTTTGAGTTGCCCGTAGTTGCTGGCCACAAAAAAAAAAACAAAAAAAAAAACAAAACAAAACAAAATAAACTATGCCATTTATTAACCATGTATTAGACATCGCTAATTTAGAGTAAGTGTCAATGAGAAAGAAAACCATAACTAATAGTTAATATAAATTCTTTTAAGATTTTCCGATGAGTTCTGAAGTGTTGTTCCTCCCATGAAATAAATGTTCTTCAGTCTAATCGCTTTTGATTTATTTGTTACGAATGCTAATTTAAATTAAAACGGGTGATTCTTTCTTAATTGTTTTTCATAGCGATACCAGTTCCTTTATTTTTTCAGTGGTCTATGGTTTAAATCTTTCTCTCACAATGACCGCTTCCTTCCAAAACAACTTCTCAATTAGGAAAATTACTTTAAATAAACATGTGATAACAAATACATTTAATGGGGCATTGTGTACAATATATATATATATATATATATATATATATATATATATATATGTATATATCTTCTTGCTTAGATTTTAAAGGTTCCACTAGAAGTAATGGTTTGGTCAAGTTACTTAACATTTTGGGCCCAAAAGAAAATTTTTGCAAATAGGTGTTCCTCATGTTTGTAAAATCTGTAAATACCTACGTAAAAAAAAGTTTCACCTGACCAAATAGATAAACACATAATAAATATCTGTCTATATCACCAAGATGAGTTAAAATGATTATTTATATTATTTATATTTTTCGGATTGATATCTTTATCTTCATTGTCATATTCACAATATTTCGGCCTTTGTACGCTCCGGCCTTCTTCAAGTGAATGGATTTTCAAATCGAACTCTTTATTTCGTCCACCAACCCATGGCCCAGTGGATGACGACATTGGTGAGATTCAGCGACTAAATCCAAAGAGTTGTGAGTTCAAAAACTTGGAGAGTTGATTTAAAGGGAAATAACTGAGACATCCGAAAGAGGCATGGCACGTGGAACTAGAACAATCCACCCCCAGTGAACGAAATAAAGGGCTCGGTTCGAAATTCCAATCACCTGAAGAAGGCCGGGGCATACAGCGGCCAAAACATTGTGAATATGCCACTGAAGACGAGGATATCAGTCTGATTAATGTATATAACCATAATAAATAAGTTGAGTAAAATATGTTTAAAGACTTAAAGTCATAGCAAATATGACGGTACGCGTAACCTCGTATAAAACATATTCATCATCATCAGTGCCAACACATGAATCTCGTACATTCATAAGCAGTAAATTCGACCTTGCCTACCGAACGCTCCTTTGTGGCCGAGTCGGTTAAGGCACGTCAGCGTAAATGACAGTTCCGTATAGGATGCAGGTTTGAATCCTGTCAAAGGACGAATATTTTCTATGAAAATTTCTCGGACATTCAGGCCGGTAAATGTTATTTAATACTGTTTATTATAAACAGAGCATTTACTTAAATACTTGTATCTAAAAAAAAGAACGTTAAACATAAAAATGTCTTTAATAAATATATATATATATAGGGAAGAGGGTATAGTTGTTCCAACGAGAGATAAAACGTCTATATTTTAAAAAGAGGATAGAAACCGCAAATGTTTTTCGTTATAATGTGAATTTTAAATATATACTTTATTTTACATATTTTTGCGACAGGTGATTCTGGAGTCCAAGAAAAACATCTGTGTTACTACTGCACAAAAAAGACAATGATTAAATATCAAAAAACGTAAGGGAAATTTATTTCTTTTTAATAATTTGTGGAAATATCGACACTTTGTTGATGAAGGTCGCGAGACCGGAAAAAAAATCTGCAAAATAAAGTATAACATATATTTTTTAAAAATCCACATTATAACCAAAAGCATATGTGTTTTCTCTATTTTTCTTAAATTTACACACACACACACACACACACACACACATATATATATATATATATTATATATATATATATATATATATATATATATATATATATATATATATATATATATATATATATATATTTATATATATATATATTTATATATATTTATTTTATATATATATATATATATATATATATATATATATATATATATATAAGATAAAGTTATATAAATTTTTATACATCTAGAACAGTGTTGTGGATTCCGAGATGAAATCCGGTCTCAAAATGAATGACAAACGCAGGAATGAAATATAGCAAATAAATGTATTGACGTAATAATACAATTGGTAATACGGTTAGTAGATCCGGAAACGCGGTTAGTAGCAATAATAATATATATATATACATTCTGGTAAATTCAGCCTCGAATAAGGACTTCCTTAGAGTCTACGTGCTTGTAACTGTGACTTCTACAAGCGGTTACCTCACACTATTACTCTCTCACTGTTCACTGTATCACTCAATCAGTGTATCTCCCTCTAACACCCTGGCATTCTCCGGCAGCAGTACAAGTACACATTGGGCGAGTCCACTTGTATGAAAAAGGGGTGGACCCCATAACAAACAGTATTAAAAAAATCATCGGGATAAATTAGTCTGTGTGTATTGTTGAAGTCGTGACTGATAAACCTCCGCAAGACATATATACAACCGTCAGTTCTATGCTAGAAATTTCTTCTGGAACTCTCTTGCGGCTCCATGCTGTCCAACCACTGTTATATTACATTGAACATTGTTTTAACACCAGCAGTATATATACATATATATATATATATATATATATATATTACACTTGAGAAAGATATTGACCTTCTTCCTCTCCCTCCTTCTATAATTGAAAGAATAGAAAAGTTCAGAGCAGATAACATTAGAAAGATTTTAGAGTCCCATGAAAATAAGTGGATACAATGTCTAAAAACACAATATCTAGCCGGGAGAAACCATAAATTTAACAATATAGATAGTACTAATATATAACCCTACAAATCAAAACCTACCCACGTTTCTCACCCACACAAGACAGACATGCTTACGGAGGTGTAGAGGCCTCACACTTATACACAAACCTACACGAATATACACGCTTACACATATACTCACTCACTCCCTAAGAACCAAATAACACGCACAGAAACACTAAACAGAGACACATCCCCTCACCAGAACCAATAAAACTGTCAAACTGACCACGGGAATTCAGAGAAGCATAGATCCATCCAGCTCTTATCTCAAATAACAACTTAAAAGAGACTGTTTGACCAACACAAAGAATGTTAAAACATTCATGTTAAAAAGATGGAAAAAACAAATGAAAACTGCAGACAAAAGTTCATTTTCTCCAGCAAGACATTCATTTCTGCTACCAGCAAGCAGAAATATTTCTCCTGATGATGGCCATTTTGGCCGAAACTAGTCGAGGAATCTAAATGAAATAATAATAATAATAATAATAAAAACGAAAGAATATTAATCTACGACCCAGTGTGTCTGAAGATTTTAATATTTTTTATTGTTCAATATATATATATATATATATATATATATATATGTGCGTGTGTGTGTGTGTGTGTACTGTGTGTTTGTGTATGGTGTGTGTGTGTGTCTGTGTGTATGTGCAAAAGTTTACAGGGTATTTTTAGAAAAGTAAAAATGATTTTTAAATCTGCTTTTAACTGTAAACGTTTGTTCATATTTTCTCTCCCTTTCTCTTTCTCTCTATTTTTCTCTCTCTCATTCTCTCTCTCGCTTTCTCCTTATCTTTCTCGGGTTCTCTTTCTCTCTTTCTCTCGCTTTCTCTTTCTCTCTCTTTTTCTCTCTCTCACTTTCTCCTTCTTTTTCTCGATTTCTCTTTCTCTCCCTCCCTCTCTTTCTCTCTCTCTCTCTTTCTCTCTCTCACTTTCTCCTTCTTTTTCTCGGTTTCTCTTTCTCTCCCTCTCTCGCTTTCTCTCTCTTTCTCTCTCTCTTTCTCTCTCGCTTTTTCTTTCTCTCGCTTTCTACTCTTTCTCGGGTTTCTCTTTCTCTCCTTCTCTCGCTTTATCTTTCTCTCTTTCGCTTTCTCTTTCTTTCTCTCTCTCTCTCTCTCTCTCTTACTCTTTCTTTCTTCCTATGGATTTCTCTCTCTCTCTCTAATATATATTCATGTATTTGTTAGAAACATCTCTAATACAATCTTCATTATCAATACGGTAAAGATACTTTTGTTTACTATACAATTGTTTCTCTTGTATATATATATATATATATATATATATATATATATATATATATATATATATATATATATACATGTGTTATCTTCTCTGAACTTAATGAATGCAAGAATGATCCAAAACTTTCCAACCGCTTTCAGCTTAAACGAAACCATTTCATCGGTTGATACAATAAACAAAGGTATATATCTGCAACAGTTTTGTAATAAAGTCATTGCGCAAAATATCACAGCCAATATTAGCAATAGTATTAGTCTGAGAGTCCTGCTTTCATTATTGATTTTCTCTTTCTCAGTTAATGGTAATAATTGACCTGGCACGAGGTACTTTTCCTTTCGGCTTGTAAAAAAGTACCGATAAAATGTGAACTTTTATTAATGTATTGTGCATATATTAAGTTTATCTAATTGCCATTTATCTGTGTACGTATTTGTATGAGAGTTCATATATTCCAGGTAAATTCTACCCACCTCCAATGAATGTCGTATTGGATAGTTCACAAGCATCAATGACTCGTATTATCGTATAGTTTCCCTACTATGATTTCTTCACCGACGCAAGATTTGCGAGTACATATCTGAGGTTATCAGGTGAAAATATTCTTGGCATCTGATTAAGAAATCAAACACTGTTATTCTCATTTCTGTCGGCAGAGTTTTCCAAATGACAAAATATTAATGTATTCTCATAATTTTAGCGGATGTGGTAAATAAGTTAGAAAAGCAACAAAAGTTAAATAATGTGATTTCACCTATGCTGATATGAAGAAAGAAAAGAAATCAGACAAATGCTAGGAGGAAAAAAAAAACAAAACAAGAGGAAACACTGTCTTTATTTTAGGAAAAGAAAAAGACTTATTGAATTTAGATTTCGAATGACAGTAGCCTGTCAGATTTACCGCTTACAACAATCTCCTTAAAAGTACCCAAAAGTATTACTGATTCTTCTACCGATTTTCTTAAGAAAAGAAAAAAAAACAAACAAACCGAATTTGTCACCTAAACGTGCCGGCCTATAAAAGAAAAATATAACCTTTGAATAAAAATTGATCAGAATTTTTCCATGTATGAAAGAAAAACAGTTGTCTTTCGGTTTCAGGTATCTTACCCATTACCAGTCTCCGAAATTTAATTGTAACCTCAACGACTATCTTCTGTCTCCCTGAACCTTGTTCTCTTTTGTACTTTCCCCTCTTCTATTTCCCACCCCTAGTAATATATATATATATATATTAACTGATTTAAAATATGGTTTTTCGCTACACAGTAATAACCATGTTTCAAAAACTGAAGCTAAAAGGTTCAAATTTAATTATATAATTAAATTAAAAGAACACCGGATTATATATCTTACTGTTCTTTCTTTATATATATATATATATATATATATATATATATATATATATATATATATATATATATATATACTAGGTAAAACGTAAGACAAAATGAAAAAAAAAAAGCTTTCTTGTGACGCGTTGCATCCTTTATGACTTCATCAGACTATTTGTTATGTTGCTGCGACTGCACATGCGCACGAATTCGGAATGCTTGGAATTTTTTCATTATATTTTTTTTATTATTCTAGCTCATTTCATCTAGATTGTTTTTCTTTCCATCATTTTTCATCCAACTGAAAAAAAGGCTATAATAAAAAAGAATTTTTAGCGTCCCTAACTTGTGCGCATGTGCAGTCGCAGCAACATAACAAATTTAGTCCGATGAAGTAGATAAGGACGAAACACTTCACCAGAAAACATTTTCCACTTACTTTGTCATACATTTTTCTGTAATATTGTTCTTGATATATAAAAAAAATATATAGTTATCTTATATATATTTATTAAAGACATATTTTATGTTTAACGTTGTTATTTTATAGATACAAGTATTTAAGCAAATGCTCTGTTTATGATAAACAGTATTAAATAACATTTACCGGCCTGAATATCCGAGAAATTTTCATAGAAAATATTCGTTCTTTGACAGGATTCGAACCTGCATCCTATACGGAACCGTCATATACGCTGACGTGGAACCTCTAGGCTACAAAAGAAGCGTTCAGTAAACAAGGTCAATTTACTTTATTTAAACTCCAATCTTCCATAACGCTTTGTAGCCTAGAGGTAAGGCTTGTATAATTTGTTTACATTCGAATACGTCAAAAGAACGAATATTTTGTATGAAAATTTCTCGACATTCAGTCCGGTAAATGTTTTTAATACTGTTTATCATAAACAGAGCATTTGCTTAAATACTTGTATCTATAAAATAACAACGTTAAACATAAAAATGTCTTTAATAAATAAATTGTCGGGCCTTGTCCATTTCTTAATATATATATATATATATATATATATATATATATGTGTGTGTGTGTGTGTGTGTGTATGTATATGTGTGGAATCAGATGGACCAGAAACAAATGCAACAGTTACAGAGGAATCTCTCTGCTGAACAGCGCCTGGACGGTCCTTGCCCGTGGGTTCCTCGGTAGACTACTACAGAATAATGGGTATATCTCGAGTCTCAGTGTGGTTTCAAGTAGGATCGTTCAACTATTGACATTATCTTCTCCCTTTGGCAACTACATGAGAAATGCTAAGAACAGGGACAACCACTGTACATTGCTTTCATTGACCTCACAAAAACATTAGATCTTGTAAGCATGGAATGGCATGTTCATGACACTCGACAGGTTTGGTTGTCCTCTGAGATTCCTCAACACTGTCCAGTCATTGACTGAGGATATGAAAGGTCAATTTATCCAATCTTATTCCGAGTTTTTTTTTTTAACATCCGCAGATGAATGAAGTAGGGTTGTGTACTTGCACGTACCTTATTCGGCATCGTCTTCGCGGTCTTGCCAAAACGTGCGTTCGATGGTTCAACTACAACCGATGGCGTCTAGCTGCACATGAGATGGTAGGCTGTTCAGTTGGTCTCGGCTGAGAGTAAATTCAAAGGTCCGTGAGATACTCGTTAGAGAGATGTGATTCACAGAAGATGCAGCATTGATAACACGCTCTGGAGAGACACTTCAGCGAGAAAAGGACACTTCTTTTTTCAAAAGACTGCGTAGAGTTCAGTTTGACCATCATTTTGACGAAGACCAACGTGATGGACCAAGGTGGTGAACAGCTTCTAGCCATAAAAATCAACAATTAAGACCTGGAAGTAGCTCGTGTATTCATATACCTCGACTCCATCGTTTCAGACATCTGCTTCTTAGACAGTAAGATCAAGAGACGGATCGGGAGTGCTATCAGCACATTTGCCTGGCTGACCTCGATAGTCAGGGAGAACCGGACGCTTACTATGATCACCAAAATTGCAGTCTAGTAGGGCATGTGTCGTCAGCCTGCTGCTCTACGACAGCGTGACTTGGAATCTCTACACTGAGGCGCATCTCCGGGCATCAGTTTGTCCGACCGGAGCACCAATTCCGTAGTTCTCACCGTACTCAGTTACCCAGCCTATAGCCTCCGCTCCAACAACGCCGAATCCGCTGGCTTGGGCATGTACACCGTATACCGGATAGGAGGCTTTCGAAGTTCCTTCTGTACGGGGAACTGACCCTCAGTAAGAGGGCGACCTCATCTTCGCTTGACAGACGCCTGAAAAAAGAATATGAAAAAGATGGACATGGCACTAGAGAGAGAGGAAGACGTCACTAATGAACACGTACGCTGGAGACGCGATTTATACCGAGGGTTGGAGAGAGGAGATAGGAAATGGTGGTGTGTCGAAAAGCGTGTTTGATGGAAAGGAAATAGCAGGAGATTGCCTTCATATGCGTTCGTTACAATCGACACTGCCACTCCTTTATGGGCCTGTACCATCATAACAGATGATGTGCCTCCATCACAAACTGAGGCATAAATCTTTGGCCACAGATCCAAGGTCTCTTGAGACAGACGGATGCTGCATATATCATGAGTGTATGATTATAATTAGAAAATTTGCTAAACCAGATTTAACATGATTTAAAATCTGTTACGGTGCAAGATCTAGATAAATTATCTATACATGACAACAGCCCACAAGCCACAGACAGGCCAGATGTGGTGGTAAGAGTGTTCAACAATTAATTATACCAGGTCTTTAAGGAAATCTTGAAAAACAGAGATCATTTTAGCGTTAGTGAATATTTAAAAATAATTATAAATTATTACTAAACTAATAACAGATCTTTATTATTTAAAGGAAAAGGATTAGACTGAAAAATCAGATAAGGATGACAAAAATATATGTAGACAAAACTTGATCTTCGTACATAACCGATGCTTCAAAACAGAGAATTATTCACAATCCTTATGAAAATTTAATTCCTATGACTTTACGCATAGAAATAAAAATAGAAATAAAGGTTTCCCATCGAAATGGTAATGACCATATAAAATCATGGCGGAAATCTTTCTAAAATATATTGTTTGTCATGTTGCTAATATTCAACAATGACCAGCTATACGTATGTCCGTGAAGAAAAACGGATGGAACTAACTTAAAAAAATACATATGGAATATTACGAAAATTAGGGAAAACCCACGACATAAAATTAGATATTTATGAATGAAATCGACGGTTTCCACACACACACACACACACACACACACACACACACACACACACACACATATATATATTATTTATTTTAAAATACTAAAACATGTTAAAAGCGCTGCATAATTAAAAGTTATGTTTCAACACTACAAATATATTATAATTAATTTAAAAAAAATATGATTCCATCGCTAAATAAGAGTTCTCATGTTTCAAAAACAGGAGTTAAAAATTAAAAATACTAAAGAACTTCGGATTATTACCCTAACGTGTTCTTTCCAATTTTTTATATATATTTGCACACACACACATACACACACACACACACACACACACACACACACACACACACATATA